TTCAGAAATGTTTTGGTTACTTTATAGTAAATGTGCATTAGTTATTAACATTCTAATTTGAAGGTTTCGGAAAGGTTTCGGGTCACAACTCTAATTTATAGGCGTTGAGTTATTCGAAGATATCTTGATCACCAAGCCAAATTCAATAAACTTTTTTTATTTGATCCGTAGAATTCAGATAAAAAAAAATTCATCGAAATTTGGCTTGAAGAATAAAAAAATTTTGAGTTTTTTAAGACTTTGAACGAAGATATCTGGCAACCACCAGGCAAAATTAAATGAACTTTTTTTTACAGTATTTGAGTTCTATGAATACGTAGAATTCAAATAAATAAAGGTTAGCTAATTTAACTTGGTGTCTGTCGAGATATCTTAGCTCAAAGTTCAAAAACACTTTAATTTGTATTGGGTATGAATAGCTACAAATAGCAATTCCCTATTTTAATTCCATGAGCATAGAATTTAAATAAAGAATTTCATCAAATTTTGGTAGGAGCCATCGCAATATCTTCATTTAATGTTTAAAAAAATGGTCGCATGATATTTATTTGTAATTCTGACTAAGAATTCAACGTCAACCGCGACAAATATAAAATAAAGGATCTGAAAAGAATCGTTGAGTAGTCAATATAAAAAGACTTTACCTCTAATGTGCAATCACGTATACTCTGTTCATAGCTTGCTTGCATAATTTTTGTTGGGTTAACATCCTTAACATTATTATACTTTTCGAGCTCAGTATACGCATAATGCATTAACTTCCGGGAATACAAAGCTGAATTTGCTATTAAAAATTCATCAGAATCGACATTGCGCCAACTACCAACACCATCTGCAACGCCTAAAGAATCATGTCGTCTAAAAAAACTATCTTCACCACAGCAAACACTGAAATATTGTTTGTCATTAGCAGTAGATACAAAATTGTTGCTATGTTTAGCTATACCGGAAGCACCGTGTATTAAAGATAAAGAGTTTCGTGGAGAAGAAAAAGATTTGTCTAAAAAGCTTAAGACAGAATGAGAAGATGGTAAGTGTTTAATAGAAGAAACACTTTGGTATTTATTATGCTTAGACGATTGGGGGTTTAACGTCTTTTTTGACGAATGGAAAGAACGATAGATGGTATAGCGAAAGGGAAATAGAGTTGATTTGGTAGGATGTGCAATCAGTGCATCAATATGAGGAAAGGTTGACGCGGTAAAAAACGGATTTGAAGTGAAAAGTTGACGCTTTACGATTGAAGTTATTTCTCTTGATCCAAATGACGGATAAAAATTTTTTTGGAGTAGTTTAGAGAATTTCATTGATTTATTAAACCTTGATACTGCGAAAATAACAAACTGTTATCGCGTGTAAAGTCTTTTAAAATGCGTATTTATTATATTTATCAATGATCACAATAAAGGCAATTTTATTAATATATACAGTAATAATTCGAGCACGACTATTTATACGTATCTTATCTCTTTAATCAGACAAATAATTTTTGTTTTGCCCACCAATTTTTTTATCTATCCAATAATCGACTTGAAATGTGTCACTTGAAATCCTATTGGTTTTTGTTTATCATAATTTGTACGTTATCTACGTTATCTGATATCAAATACAAAAAACTGAAAACTGATATAGAGATATCATAACTCCAAATTAGAATTTCTTAACAAATTTGATGAACGTTACAGAAGTTCATTACGTATCATTAAATTGGGCATGGGTGGGAATTTTATTAATGTGAATTTACCTATATCGATATATATATATACTACTGATACGTATTTGATATTGATATATTGATATTGATATCGATATGTAAAAATCGAAATACTGCTACGCCACTAAGCGTTTTATAAGCGCTATTGTAGTCTAAACCTATCTTGTACGTATTACTGAAATAGTAATCTATTTAAATCTATTTATTTTACTCCATTTAGCAGTACATTACTTCGCATAGTACGTACATACGTACTGGTGGATAGTCATTGTATAAAGCAAATTTAATGCATGCATAAAAAATTACGACCGAATTTTTGAACCAAAATTATTTTATATATTAATTCGCAGAACTTAATTTATTGTTTCTCGTAACATATGAAGTTGCAAAGTTGTTTATTAATTTTAGCTTCACTCGTCCAAAAGTAATTTTTTTAGTTAATAGATAGCAACTAATAAATATTTCCTTTTTGTATTGTCCGAAACGATAATACGTAAAATGTGATAGTCACGTTTATTTATTTCCAGTAAATCTTTTTATTGTTTATAATATAATACAAATTATTGGATTCGACCAACAATCATTTTACAATTAAAATTATTTTACAGAAAAATTAATTAATTAACAAGTTTCTTTATAAGCAATTTACTTTAACAAACAGCTTATTTTATAAACAGCTTATTTTACTAATAGCTTATGGTATATATAGAAAGTTTTTTTTTATAAATTGTATATACTAACTTTAATCTTATTCTAATAAAATACGTAATTAAAAGTGGTTTATTTATAAAATAATTTTTAATAAATTAATTATTTGTATATAGTTATTATACAGTATATACAGTATAATAACTATTTATATTAGATAAAGAGTATTAAAATTATTAAATTTATTTAATACTGTATAAAATTTTTATAAATTTTTAATAAATCAATATATACTGTATTTTTTAAATAAAATTTATAATTTTAGATTATTTGCTATAAATAAATTATTCAACCTTTTAAATTACAACATAAAACTAGGCTACTAGTTATAGATTAAAGTTAAAATTAAATTAAAGTAAAATTGCAAAAAAATCCAATTTTTATTAATTACACATTAGAGTTATTCTAGTAAAATTTTATAATATTATAATATACAGTAAATAAGTAATATTAAGTATAGTATTAGGTGTAGTAACATAGCAAAGTGGTGGAGTTGTTGCACCCCCAAGTTAGTTTGACTATAGGTATTGAGTTCAAATCCCACTGGTGACATTTTAATACAATTTACCTGTGTCATAGTAATGGCTTATTCTAAATTGGGCTGGGTTTTATATCTGTAAACTGGGGCATAGTGCTACAAATCAAAGTTGAAAAATTGATTAGTTGATCAAGTTGACAACTAATCGATTTCATTTTACCAAATCAACTTAATTGATTAGTCGATTAATCAATTAATTAATTGATTAGTTGATTGGTTAACTAATCGATTAATCAACTAATCACTAATCCAATTGATTGGTTAATTGATTATAATGTCATTATTATATATAAATAATATATATTTATTTACAAATCTTTTTTAATAGCAAAAAATTATTATTTTGGCATATACTTTGGATACACAAAGTGATTAATCAATTGGTTAATCAATTGATTAGTTGGGTAAAATGGGTTGTCAACTAATCGATTAGAAAATTTTTGTCGATTTGTAGCACTACTGGGCATATCAATGCCTATGTGTGCTAGGAGGCATAGATGTATTTGTGTTATTGTATAAAGAAATACAAACTAGTATAGATAGTGCAAATTCATGATAAAATGTTCTAGATTATAACAAGTTAAAGATCTACTCACAGTAGCCTAAGAAAACTAAAACTGGCTTGGCAAATTCAAAATAAAAAAGTAGCAAATTCTTGTCTAACTAGTGCTACCTAATACCACAGAACTGATTTAACTAGATCCAAATATTTGGAGGACTTGAGTAACAAAATCTTTTGAGCAAAAGGGATTTACCAACCAGACTACTGGGGTCACTAGAGCTGCCTTAGTTGTATATTTCTTAGCTATTTCAATAGTATGACTAGAGATAAGATGCTAGAATAAAACTCTAAAGAAAAAGATTACATGCTATGAAAATATGGTCCAAGGATCAGGTGATCTTCAGACCTGAGCCTGGAAAACTCAAGTTTGAGCAAACCAATCTTTTCAGATCATCTAAATTGGAAGACCAATAAGTAAGATACAGAAAATAACAGAATGAGGTATTAGAGTCTGTAAACTTTATAAAGGGTAGAAGTAAGTAATAGAGGACTAAATTAGAAAAGTTAGGCTTAAAATACAGATTGTGTTATAGCTGCACCCCAAAAGGTGACATGAGATATAAACACAATAGTAGCAGACAATATATACTAATTTGGAAAAAAATTACTGAATAAGCAAGTATCTTCATATATAGAACATAATATGTAGATTGATTTATAAGTCTTATTATAAGGTAATTAACTCAATCATTTTTAAATCTATAATCTTAAAAATTATATCTATAAATATAATAGTTATAATCTATTTATAAAAAAAAATCAAGCTAATTTTAATTAAATAGATTTTGAAAAATTAAATTTTAAAAATTGCTTTTAAAACAATTAAAGGATTTTTATATATAAAAATTACTAAAAGTATATAAGTAAAAAGTTATTTGAAATTAAAAAACTTAATATATTTTTTTAAAAAATTAAGCATTAATAAAATTAATTGTATATTTTATAAATATAAATTTTATTTTTAAATTA